TTTTTGGGCAACGGCACACCTGTTTACCGGAAAAAAATCTCGCGGCACACCACCATTAAAGCCCCGCCCCCGTGACGTCATTCGGGGAGCCGGCGGCCCGGGCCTGAGCTGGAAGGAGAGGCGGTGCTTTTCGGCACAAGGCAATCGGCCTGGAATTGTTTCCCGCGCGCTGCGAAAGGGAACAGCTGCGGTCGCGCGAACCCTCCGGCGCTGGGAGGGGAAAGGGCGGAGTCGCAGAGCACCAGCTGGCCGAGCGGTTGCGCGCAGCGTTGCGCTTTTGGAGAGCGTGCGGCTGCTGCTAGGGGATCCGGGGACGTGAGCAGGCCTGGCCCGACCCGGGTTGAAGGAGGACAAGCCGGCAGCGCGCCAAGTGAGTTCGGTTGCGCGCGACGGCCCCCGCTCCCCCCACCCCCGCCGGATCCTCGCCGCCGCCGCCTCTCGCCCGCCTCCCTCCCACGGCACACCAGCCGATGTCTCACGGCACAGTAGTGTGCCGCGGAACACCGGTTGGGAAACACTGGACTAGATGACTCTCAGTGTCCCCTCAAACTCTACAGTTCTATGATTCTAAGGCAGACCACCAGTCCATCTAGCTCAATATTATCTATTCCAATCTGTGTCTATACCAGGATTTCAGACAGGGGACATTCCTAGCCCCAGGATTTGAACCTGGAACCTTCTGTATGCAAGGCTGATGTTCTACCACCGAACTTTTGTCCTCCTACCTTCATCTACAGAACTTTAAAATGGGGTGATGGTCCTCCACTGTTGTGTTTTCAGCACCCAATATTCTATTTAGCTATCATGGCTGGCAGGACCCATGTAAGTAGAATACAGATGAAGGATAGCTTTATGACTAAGTTTGAGTGTATAGAACTGACAGAAAACATGATAGCTTGATCAGTTAGGTGGGACTTACAGAACTCCCACTTTTTCAGGCACTGGCAGCCTCCGCCTTCCTTTAAAAAAAACATATGGTTCAAGTCTATGGTTTAGAAAATTTGCTGGTGCTGTCACAAAACCTATCCAGTCTGTGTCAGCAAAAGTAATATCCACAAAACATCACCAGATACTTTTCAAATGATGCCAAAATTAGTCATCGCGGCTACCTTGGAGCCATGATTGTAATATAATGGAGGAAACTGAAAGAGTTGAATGACTTAGTTCTAGCGCTCAGAGCTATTTCAAGATCCTGTAAATGTGAGAGTGGTAATGGATGTTTTCAGTGCCAGAATGTGCATCCATTTCTTCCTAATGTACCAATTTATATTTCTCGGTGAACTTTAGATTCACTGAGATTTGCTAACACTTTATACCCAACTACATTTGCTGTTTTCCTTTCGTGCTATCCAGAAAAATAACCATGTGTTTACTTTGGTTAATGCAGTCACTCCAGAACTGCGCTACTATGTCTAAGTGGAAAAGCCATGTGTGTATCTTACAGCCACTATGAACCTCTATGAGATACCCATCAGGCAGAGGCCTAGTTCACATAAATCCCCCCACTTTTTTGTGGGTCAAGAATAACATGAACTAGGCCCCTTGCACACTTAGGTATACGTGACTGTAGGCAGGCTGCTTCACTTGGGGGGCTGTGTGGCAGAAGGGAGGGCTTTACACTGTTCGTCACATGGCAGTGCTGCTTAAGATTGAGTGTATACATACTGTGCATATGAAAGAAACACCTTTTTAACATGCTGATGACGAAACAGTGCTGTAGAAGAAGTTTTCATGGTAAAGACTAAACAAAACTACCCCCAAAATCAAAGTCAGATGCTGACATGCAGTTCTATGCACAGCTACCCTGTTGGTGAGCCAGAAGGGTTACAGACCAGAGAGTGTCTCCCTGGGGCAGGAGTAGCCAATTTGGTGCCCTCCAGTTGTCCATGGAGTACAGCTCCCATCATCCTTGACCATGTTGGCTGGGGTTGATGAGAGTTGCAGGCCAACAAAACATCTGAAGGGCACCAGGTTGGCTACACCTAGCCAAGGAAGAAAGCATCTCCAGGTGCTGGAGTAACAGGCTTGCCACTGATTTCTTTGCCAGAAAGAGGCTATAAAGCAGGGGTCAGCAAACTTTTTCAGCAGGGGGCCGGTCCACTGTCCCTCAGACCTTGTGGGGGGCTGGACTATATTTGGGGGGGGGGAGAATGAATTCCTATGCCCCACAAATAACCCAGAGATGCATTTTGAATAAAAGGACACATTCTACTCATGTAAAAACACACTGATTCCCAGACCGTCCGTGGGCCGAATTTCGAAGGCGATTGGGCCGGCGATTGGGCCGGATCCAGCCCCTGGGCTTTAGTTTGCCTACCCATGCTTCCTGTTTAGGCTGGGGCTTTGTTTAGACAACAGTAGTCTATATTATGCCTGTCTAGTTCTGACTCTCAACTTGTTCTACTGCTCTGAATTCTCATCTCTGATCTTCTGCTTGACTCTTGGTTCCTGACCTCTACTCAGTGGCCAACTATGCCTCAACCCTGATGATTTCCTTCTCCATGTCTCCTCCTGCTCCTCCCCTCCCCTGGAAACATCAAAGTAATGTCTGACATGATGTCATCATGCTATACCCCATCCCCTCATGCTACACTGGATGCTGCTTGCAGGGGTAGGGACACTCACAGTGTTGTGTTGTGACATGCCATCATGTCTTTTATAATAGCACAGGTTCTTGAGGGGAATGAGAAGTACAGGACAAACAAGGCTGCTGCTTTGGTGGCAATAACATGTTCCAAACTATATCTAGTTCCAACCTCAGTTGGATACAAACCTGAATCTTTACTTTCCTTTACTTGCGTGTGTTGATTTCCAGTAAGTCGTTAAGTGGCAACTTCCCAACTTTAACACCAGCCAGAAATACAGCCCATTTACTGTACAAATGAATGCATTTTATCTTTTTGGCACTAGGCTATTTGACCTAGTTCAGGATATTATTTTACCACAGTTTGGAACATATAAGGTCTCGGTCTGATTAGGGTGGCAATCGTGACTGATTAAGTCAGCATTGGCAACAAAACAAATGAGAAACACAAGCATGGGGACTCTCAGATTGGCAGGAAAGGGAGAGGCAGACGTCCCAATCTTTAGATCATGGATATGGTTTATTTTGGACAAGAGCCATTGTGATCTGATCTTAGTTCTCATCTTATCAGAGTGGGAACAGGAAGGGATCACTTTATGGCTTATTGTTACTGTGAAGAAATGCAAAGTCAAGCCTCCAAAATAATCAGGGCTTCCTGGACGTTTTTCAGATATTAAATGTGGGTACAAATAAACATGGTAGTGTGCTTATTAAGAAATATGTTAATGCCATGATAAAGGTGACATAAAGTCTGACAGAAAATGAACCTGAACTGTGTCACATATTCACATCAGTGGCCTTAGCTTTCACTACTCTAAGGAAAATTAGATTACTGTGGATTACCACTGATAAATTATTTTTGCAGTTCCACAAAGTATTCTATAGCACAGACGTATGTATATGCACTTTACTTTATTCAAATGCACTGGGTGGAGGTTACCTACAGCCGTATCAGTAACAGATCGTCATCAGTGCACAGTCATGTGGTAATAAGGCAACCTTTACCTCTTTTCTACTTTGCCACACTTCATATCACTAACAAAAGGAAATACCCACCAGCTCATGGCTAGATGCTACAGATAACAGGGAGTTTTGTGTGTACTATGGTAAGCCACTACGGCAAATGGTCATTTTGACTGACACACTGTAGAGGCTAATCACAAAACATTGTAACCACTTAGAATTGTAACCATTTAGCTAACATTAATTACCGTATTTTTCGCATTATAGGACGCACTTTTTCCCCTCCAAAAATCTGTGTGCGTCCTATGGGGCGAATACAGGCTTTTGCTGAAGCCTGAAGAGCGAGAGGGGTCGGTGCACACCGACCCCTCTCGCTCTCCAGGCTTCATGAAGCTATCAGCAAGCCTGGGGAGCCTGCGGGAGTTCCCGCAGGGCTCCCTACGCTGCGGATAGCAGCCTGCCACGCGGGGCGCCCTGAAGCAGAGCGCCCCATGCTTCGGGCAGACATCGGCCAGCCCCACAAGCTTGGAGGACAGCGGGGAGGCGCAGCGCCGCCATCCTGCTGTTCCTCGACCTGGTTTGGTTTCCCTGACCTGGTTTTGGGGGGGAAATAAAGGGAATTTTTTTCCCTTTATTTTCCCCCCAAAAAAACTAGGTGCGTCCTATGGGACGAAAAATACGGTAACAAATAGCTATTTACAAATAGATATTTATAACCAGGTGAATAGTTTCTCAGACTGAACATCTCTAATGAAGATGTATAACTATAGATAGCACTGGCCAGATTCCATACAACAGTATGGCTAACCTATGGCCCTACAGATGTTGGTGGCTCCAACTTCCATCAGTCCCAGTCAGCATAAGCAGTGGTCAAGGGTAGATGGGACTTGTAGTCAAACCTCCAACCTCTGGAGGGCCACATATTAGCAACCTCTATGGTAAGATATAAGCCATGGTTTACTGTACATCATGCTCTGGGACCAAATGTGCCCCACCATGCCTCACTATCCAGCCATCAGGACTCTGCCCAGGCCATACCCCACTCATAGGCCATACTCTGCACCCTCCTCTGGTGGTTTTACTAGGATGATGTGTGAACTGGGCCACTGTGAACAATCTATGAAGGAAAGTAGAGTGGATAGGAATACAATAATGAAAGTTCTACAAAAACGAACCATTATTCATGCTTGTTTTTTTAAACATATATATAATGCAGACGTTAAACTTCTCACTCTGAGAAATAGTTCTAATAAAACAATAGGCCACAATGGAACAAAGACTTGACCATTGATTGAGGCCACTCACTGAGAATTGAGTCGATAGTTTTGAAGATTAGAGCTATGTTTGACATCATACAAGGCAGGCAAAACCAATATTCTGCTCTATTTCTTTTGAAACATTTAATGTTATGAATACAAAATCTGATTTATCGGTTTTGAATACAAAATCTTACCTTCTGATAACTTGGGGGAAGTCTGAACAGAGTTGGGATCTATGTCCTCTTCAGATGTGTAATGATAAAGAGTCTGAGGCTGTTTTAAGGATATCCTATTGTTGTCTTCTTTCAGTGCAATGGGAGATGGTTGTGTTGGATTGAACTTGACCTTGGGGAACTTAATTTCCTCATTTTCCTCCTGCAAAGAGTTTAGCCCATGCGATTGAGTCATATTGGACTCTTGTAAGACCAACAACCTGTTTTCTTTCTGCTTGTTGTCTTTCTTCATGTTTAGCTTGATTTTGAAGCGGGCATTTTCTTCTTCCTCATTCCTCTCCCTGTTGGCTGGCTTTCTCCTCTCCACATCTGCCATATTTCTGGGCCTCTCAGTTGTAACCGCAGCTTGTTCCTTTCTAACGCTGTTAGCAATGGTTGTTCGATGATGCCTTTGCCGTGCTTTGGGGGTTGATGCCGTGCTTGTCGTATAAATCCTTTCCTCACTCTTTTCAGTGGCGCGACTAGTTTCAGGGTAGTGCAGAACATGAGCAAGTGTGGCCGTGGGTGGCAGAGCTTCTGTCGTTGAAGCAGGGTGAGTTAATGGCGGAGGAGTAACACTGCTGCTTGCGAGGTAATCATAATCCTCACTTTGCTCTTGGCCCATGCTCTCTTGCTCTGTATGAGCCGAATAACTGTAGAACTTCTTAGGTGGCTCTACCTGAGTGGTGTCTCCTTCTGGTGCCTCCTGGTCATAACTGTAGGAATCATCATAGTGCCGTTCTGGTTCGGTGTCCCCGGTATCGGATGGGCTATGAGGGTTTAATGTGGATTCATTACAGTCCGGGAGCACGTAGCACATGAGATCCCCTCCCGAATTGGGGCAGTGGCAAACCTTGCACGGAGGCATGTGGAACGTGTGTCCTGCCGCATATTTCTGCTCTTCATGGAGGCAGCCGATTCTCCCGCACTGAGGGCACCCGTCCGCGGGCAGCACGGCATCGATGCAGTTGGGTGGAAGGTCTGGACAGAGCATAAACTGGCAGCTGATTTTGCCGCCCCCTTTGGGACAGGAGCATTCTGTGCTTCCAAAGTCGACATAGTAAGACTGCCCTTCGGGGACCTTGCCGTTGATAAAACCGACATTCACGCAGTCATAGTACTGATAGCCTTCACAGGTGCAGCCATGCTGGAGACAAGAGGCGCAGCACTCGTCCGGCTCAAGCACTTCCTCAATGCAATTTTCCAGCTGCTTACACTCCACACCTGTGCAATCCTTCTGAGCTTTGGAGATGCCAATCCAAATAAGCAGCAAGAGGGCTGTGTTCAGCGAGCAGAAATGTAGCACTCGGTGCCTATCCATAATCTTCCAAAACAAGTGCGCCAAAAATCCAGCCTTTTATTGGGTTCGTTCTTTCTCTCTCGTGCGTTTTCCCCCTTTGGAATTTCTGCTCACTCAGCTCCTGGTCAGAAATATTTCCCTGGATTCTGTTTTGCAACTAGAGCCTAGGTTTATGAAAGAGAACTTTGTTAAAGGCTATACTCTGCACATATCCTGTTAGACATTAGAGATAGTTTTAAAATGGGATAAAATTCCAACATCTGGAAAGCTACATATAAAATTAATCATAATATCTCGTCCAAGCGCTATAGACACCCAATTCCAAGATGCATGTTTTTCATTTCTCTGTCTTTTGCCTCCCCTCACTACCCCTTAAAAAAAAAAAAGAAACAAGAAAGTGGCCTTTTTATCTATTCATAAAATATACACATAGTAAAATAAAAAGCAATATTTTGAAAACATTTGGTATTTATTTATTTATTTTAGAAGCCTTGGTTTTTTTAAAAAAATAATAGTTGGCAGACAAATACACAGTTCTTTCTTCTTCAGATTTAACATTCCTATATTTGATCATGGAATGTATTTATGGTGTCTATAATTTTGCTTTTGTATACTGTATTTTACTTTGCGGAAACTGCCTTGTGTGTGAAGGCTTTTGCCCTGGAAGGCTGCCTGTGTGTGTGTGTGTGTGTGTGTGTGTGTCAATTTGAAGCAGTTTCTCAAGTTGATGCACACACACATTAAATTTCAAATTAAACTTCAGATGGGGGAGGGGTGAACATACTATATTTTGATCCCTTTGGAATCTGAATTTGACAGTCAAAATGGTCTCTGTTTGGCAATTCTGGCGTGGGTCCCTGTCCCTGACCCAAACTAATTTGATGGCAGCAACTCCTCACAGCTGGACCTTCACTAGGCCCTAAATGCTGTGACAGACATGAACCAGAAGGTCCATGGGACACCAGGAGGCACAGAAAATGCAAAGAATCTGGGAATCTGACCAGCCATTTCCCCTTGTTTTCTTGGGCCCCTAACCCCAACTGTGTATGCCCCTCACCAACATAGTCATTGTCACCACTACTGTTATGATGGAAGAAAATATAGGAGAAGTCCCTCAGGCCCATCATTCTTATATTAATTGACAACAAAGCCCTTAACAACTTGGGTTCCAGGATACCTTAAGGACTGCTTGATTCCTTAGTTCCCTGTCAGTAGGCCTCCCATGGCACAGACATGCAACTCATATCCACCAGGAACCACACATTCATTATTATGGGTCTAGTGCTGAGGAACTCCTTCCTGGCTGAGTTAAGATAGACCACCTCTTAGCTGAACTTCTGGCACTTGGTGGAGACCTTTGTATTTCAAAAGGCACCTCAAGAAAGTTTTTATGGTTTATTTTAACTGATTTTATCTATATTGCATCTTTTGCAACCTTACTGTACACTGCTTATAGAGTATGGAATTAAGCTGCATATTAACTGTTGAAATGAAATCAATAATAATTCTCCCAGTGGCATCACTGAGAGCACAGTGAACTCCAGTCCTAGAAAGGGATGATTGTAGTGTGTGAGGTGGGATGCCACTGCTGCACTGGAGCTCAACAGGAAAGGTATTAAGTAGAGAAATACAGTAGCAAAGATGTGAAAGCATCTGTCATGACCCAGGAATGGTACCATACTTCCCAAACCACAACTGTAATGGGCTCACCCCAAAAACAATGTTTTCCACGGTGAAAACTAATCATTTTTCTTGAGTCTATTCAGAATCTTACTGGGAGATGTTTAGCAACCATACGTTGTGTTTATAAGTATATTTGATATTATGAGTTTCTGCACTAATGGGAAAGGAAAGTAACTACAGCCCTAGAAACGAAACAACAGTGTCACAATGTGTTCCCAGAGCAGCTCAAAACAAGGAGAAACAAGGAGACGAGGGTTGTCCATGCGGACTATGAATTCCAAACAAGAGCTCCTGGAGCTCACAACATCTGCAACTCAAGTGCAAGAAAAGCCAGCCTCCTTTAGGCGTTACAGTCTCACCATAGACAGCAGAAGCAGGAGTTAACTGCACAACTGCTTCCCCTGATTCGCCATAAATTTTGAACTACTTCTTCAAGAAGTTTGCATTAGTCTTTCTTTTTTTTTACCTTAAAAATACTGAATTCACCACAGCAGTATTCATCATTCGATGAAATGAGTCCAGGTTGCATTAATCATTTCAAACCCTGCTCCATCTTATTGCCAGAAAGAGCTGTTGTCTTTTCCAGCAACTTGACCAGTAATACAACATTATGAAATAATGTTTTGGGCACGCAATCCATTTAATAGAATCATAGAATTGTAGAGTTGGAAGGGTCATCTAGCCCAACTCCCTGCAATGCTCAACAAAAGCATCCATGGCAGATGGGCATCCCGCCTCTGCTTTTAAACCTCCAAGAGGTGTTATGTGTTGCAGGTCTTGTGACCTGGGTGGCCTCTTCTGGACGGGGTTGTACACCCAATGGAAAGGGAAAGTCTGTAGCTTGTAGGGTGCTCACAGGGTGTTTGGACATGGAGGTGAGTCAGGGTGGGAAGGTTAGGAGTTGCCTGTATGCTGCTTCTTGCACATAATTCTTCTCTCTCCTATACACACCCCTCTATCTTCTTTAAACCATCCTCCTTCTCCCTACAGATTCCATGCAGCCTCTCCATCCTGTCCTGTGCCCTTCCCCAATCCTATCACACCACACACCCCAAAAGCCACCCATCCCTGCATCCTGTTTCCCAAAGTGCCTAGCCAGATCCCTCTGGGGAATTCCAGAAGACACACAGGCAACAAGACATAGAACCTAAGAGCCATGTTGGTTTACAGGGCTAATTCCCCTCCTTCTGCTTCTCTTTCTTTTAATATGTGTTTCTAATCTGTTTTTTAATTTTAATTAGCTACAGATTTTTTGTATATATTCATTCTTTGGTTTTATTGTTACATTGTTCTCTTGTTAATTATATGTGGATTTTCTTGGTGTCAACCTCATCATTTTACAGAAAGGGTGGAGTAGGAATGTAATAAGTAGATCTGGAACTTATTCTAAGGGTTTGACTCAAATAAAACGAAGAAGAAAATAAAAACGGAAACGCCAAAACCTTGTAACAATACGTTGTAATTTTGCTATGAGCCATGTTTTCCACTGTTGTATAGAAAGGCAACAGCTGAAAGTATGCTTGGAATTAAAATACAATGTGTTGCTTGGAATTAAAATACAATGTGTTTGAGAAAGAAAGTAGGCACACTGACCACTTGGGCTGCCTCAACATGTTCATCCAACATCAGTGCAACGTCTGATGCTTCCCCTTTCACTATCAGTTTTTGCTTCTGTTTACCTGAACATGCAAGATATCTTGGGGAAGGTCATTACTCCACTGCAACACTGGAGCTTGAACTGAACAGGCTTACAAATTCTTGCAGCATTTCCTGCTTTTCTCATTTTCAACAATCCATAATAGGAGTAAGTAATTCTGAATCTGATTTGTACAGACTCTTTGGTGCAAGTGCCCATATTCCAATGGCCATCTTATTGAATTATTCAAATGATACTGGTGAACAAAAACTGTTCCATGAAGCCTAAGGGCAAGAGGATTCCCTCTTCATAAACATTTCCTGAGTTGTCTGAATATAGGGTGATTATATGAAACATGTCTTTGGATTTAAATGATGTCAGTTTATGCCAATTTTTGCCCTCAAACAATGCTTGCTATTCCTGCTTAGAATCTTCTGCTGTCTTTGTCAGGAGTCTAATTCTGATCCATCTCAAGCAAGCAGTCTATCCTCTACATTATATAGGATAATTACTGCATAATTATTGCAGTTGCCAGTTGTTCGTTCATGTTCTGAAAAGCACTTCAGTTACCTCTGACAGTGTGGTTTGGTAAAAATGCCAAGAATATTCTCACACTAATTTGTGATGAGCTCACACATTTCCGGATTGTGAGGGTGTGAAAGGAAGCACTTATCTAATGGTAGGAACAGACTTTCTGAAGTTGTAGGTTTTATATATTTTGAACATGATTCCCCTATTACTTCTTTTTGTTCAAAACATGTTTTCATACTGATCTGGCCCACCTCAATTCCCTTTGTGCTTTGAAATTTTGAGGTTGCTTTTTGTACCAAAGTCAAATGAAACTAGCAAGTTTGGGCAATTCTATGGTGGTAAAAACAGAGAATATAATACTTGTGCTATACACTATATATTTTTCAAATAATTATATGTTGTAGAACACTTTCTATTCTATATATTTATTGACCTGGGTTCACACTTAACACTGAAACATTGTTCATTTAGTGAAGGTGTGATTTGTTTGAATATCTGAACCCTGTCTGACAGACAAACCACAGTTTGTTTCCAGCAATAAACCATGATGTGAAGCCATAATTTCCTGTTGGCTCATGAACCATGGCTTATTTTAACTATGGTTCAGCATTACATCCCAACCCAGGAACCTTGTTAACCATGGTCTGTTTGAGTACCCCACTGCACATACAGTGGTACCTCGGGTTAAGTACTTAATTTGTTACAGAGGTCCATTCTTAACCTGAAACTGTTCTTAACCTGAAGCACCACTTTAGCTAATGGGGCCTCCCGCTGCCGCCACGCCGCCGGAGCACGATTTCTGTTCTCATCCTGAAGCAAAGTTCTTAACCTAAAGCACTGTTTCTGGGTTAGCGGAGTCTGTAACCTGAAGCGTATGTAACCTGAAGCGTATGTAACCCGAGGTACCACTGTACTTGCAAATCTACAGAGGCATGAGGCAAGAACAGCTGGAAAACAAAGTAACTTTGAAGAAACAAACTATGGCTTGTTTGATCATCTGTGAGACAGCTCTGAGGTTTATTCAATAAACCATGGGTTAAACAAAACGTGGCTTAGAATTATATGCTAACAGTGAACAGAGATCTCTATTTCCATGCCCACTTAAAAATTGTATAGCCCATCACAATAAAACAGAACATTCATAGTTATAAGGAAATCTGAAAAACAAAAGCAACCACCAGCTGTGGGGAAAACATTCTTTTGAAGCGAAGAACACTGATTGGTGAGCAAAGCAGAAAAGTATAGCAATCTAAAAGGAGGAGGGAAAGGAAGGCTGAAAAACAATGGAAGAAATTGGCATATGGGCTTGCTGTCCTAGACAGTAGAAACAAAACTGCTTTCATGGCAGTAATAATTTTTAAAACGCACACAATAGGGGCTGATTCTGCATCTTTTGTTTATGTGTCTGTTGTGATTATGTGGCTTACAAATATGTTCACTTTAATTTTATAATTGGGGTTTATACGAGAATGGTAAGTAAATAGGTGTTTGCTTGTCTGGATGCACATGCAAATTAATGTGAAAGAGTTTTAAGGAAGTATGCTGGTAATCCTGTTAGGTTTACAGTTTTCCAGAAATACACACACACACACACACACACACACACACACACGTTCAATATCATACACACGCAACCCCCCCTCCCAGTGTTTCCATGTGCTCTGGCACTCATCATGGTGTTCCATGCACCAGAAGCAGTTTAATCATGCTGGCCACATGACCCAGAAAAGCTGTCTGTGGACAAATGCCAGCCCCCTCAGCCTGAAAGCAGAGATGAGTGCTGCACCCCATAGCCAAATTCGACTGGACTTAGTTGTCCAGAGGTCCCTTTGCCTTTTACCTTTTTACCTGCATATATAGAAAAGATAAATATCATGGACAACTTGAGTATGCAAGGGAGTATGAATGTGCTTAGTTCCAGTATTTCAGGCTTATGTGGCAAATTTTGAGTAGAAAAATGGAGCCATTTAGTAATTATGACCTTAAAATACAATGTTCATCTAATTTCATTATCCTCCTTATTTCTCCTTCAGGACTTACACGCCTGCTTGCTATCTGTGAACTTGCCTGCCATGCCTTCAGTTCAGAGTGCGGCCTACATTCTTTTTCTGCTGGGAACTTCTGAAGAGAATGGAAAACGTAAATGTAAAATAAATAGCATTCTTCTGCCACTAGAAATATTATCTTTAGAGCCGGCTTTTAAATAAATCCCCCCCCCTTTCTTTTAGTGCTTAACTTGGTAATATATTATTTGAATGTTACTCCAGCATCTATGAATAGCCAGTTGTTATACCAGGGTTGGTTGGGGGAATGTGTCACTGGAAAGATCATACACCTGGGCTATTCTCATGAGACCCTTCCTTTTCCTCTCCCTTGCACTATTCTAATTAAACACATATTTTCAGCCACAGAAAAATCAAGTTTGTGTTTTGACTGGGCCTCTCGCACTCATGTGGACATGCTGTTATCCTTAGCACTGTTCTGGTAGGATTTTACCTGGTGGGTTCTTACTGAAATGAATAAAACTGCATGGAAGATAGATATAGCTATATAGATATTAATATAGATGCTATAGATATTCACTGCTAAGTTTTGAAAAGCCACAAATTAGTCAATGGATTGTGAAGGTGAGAGATGTAGAAACAGAAGGGCTGAGTTGTAGTCCTGCCAAACGGCATATAAATTTCCTTGTGCAGTGTGCAGGATACCCTGCAACTGAAGGTAAGAGCTGCATTTCCAGTCTAAATCCAAGATTTCACGGCATTCTCTCACTGGAAACAGACAAAATCTTGGGACGTACAAATCTGGATTAAGAACAACTGTCAAACAGGCCCATTGAAACCTGCCATTTTCAAAGGAGCTTGCTCAGAATTTGACTTTTGAAGTAAAATATTGGGATCCTTTCTATTTCGATGTCAGCATTTCTAGTTGGTTCTAAAATGACACACAGATCATGCCAGGGGGAGGCGGGGGAGACAGGTTTTTGGGGTGGTGTTGAGGGACGGTTCTGGAAAACGTTCTAGCTCACATAGCACAAAGCCATGGTTTAGCATTATGAGGATAAGGCTAGGCTAGCCTGAGGTTCCATGAATTTCCCTTTCTGCCTCTGGTGCAGCCACAAAAAGGATTATAGGAATTTCTGCATTTCATCAGAACCCTGAACAGTGGCTAATCATATTAACCATAGTTTGGCTTTCTATTAAGTTTTTGCCTAGCACCTTGGCTAATTCAAGGAGAACCTAGAGTCCTGTTGATAGAGGAACTTCCACCTATCAAGGAACAGCCAGTTCTTGAGTTGTTGGAGATGGGGACCCAGCCATCATTAATCCTCTTTTTCGAAGCAAGCTTTGCTTAAACATGATTCCTGTATATTCCCTAAAGGACATTTTTGGATTCCACATGGTGACCAAGTGCAAACTCAATGGCTTCAACACCAGCAGCCCTTCCATTGCTGTTTACCATCAGCCTGATCAAAAAACAAAAACCTCTGGAACTAATGCTAATCCTTTACATTATTAGTTGCAAATGATGAGGATATTAGTGATCAGTCAATGAGCCACGGGAAATCTCAGTTTTGATCCCAGTTATCCTGGCTCGACAAGCTGCCCAGGCTGAATGCTAGGAATATGTCAAAGCTGTAGGACCCCTCCCCCATGACTATCTGATCTCTTTAAACCACACTTTTTTTGTTATCAAGATTCCCCCTGGCCAGGACATGGTAAATTTAGATGGGGACGAATAAACACCAGCCTTCGTCATTATGTACTGAGGCCATGATGGATTACGAACTAATTAAAATTCCTTCAATATCCCGATTGTATATATTAGCATATCATATGCTGAAACAAATCAGCATACAGCCTGGGAACTTATTTACTTACTTAGAGTCTCCAAGTTCATTATTCATCTTTGTAACTGAAACAAAAAACAAATTATGTAGTTCAGCATATTCCTGGTGCCCATAATTACATAAAAATACATCACATGCAACATTTACAAGGGTGGGACGGAAAATTCTACAATATGCATAGGAAGATGCAGCCAACATAGAGATCTCCATGCTCACAACTGGCACAATTTTTCAACAATTTTACATGCTGAACCAAGTAAAAAATAGTGAAACAATGTTAACATGCAAGAAAACCTGTAGTCAAAGGTCATCATAGGGGTCAAATCGATTATAAAGGTAAAGGTAAAGGTACCCCTGCCCGTACGGGCCAGTCTTGACAGACTCTAGGGTTGTGCGCCCATCTCACTTAAGAGGCCAGGGGCCAGCGCTGTCCGGAGACACTTCCGGGTCACGTGGCCAGCGTGACAAAGCTGCATCTGGCGAGCCAGAGCCACACACGGAAACGCCGTTTACCTTCCCGCCAGTAAGCGGTCCCTATTTATCTACTTGCCCCCGGGGGTGCTTTCGAACTGCTAGGTTGGCAGGCGCTGGGACCGAACAGCGGGAGCGCACCCCGCCGCGGGGATTCGAACTGCCGACCTTTCGATCGGCAAGCCCTAGGCGCTGAGGCTTTTACCCACAGCGCCACCCGCATCCCATGAAATCGATTATAGTACTTTGTAAAAAGGAGACAGATTTGCAACCAATCAAAAATGGGGGAGGGGGGCCTGAGTTGCAGCCTGTAGGAATGCATTTGGGAAAGAATTTGGTTTAATTGAACTGGTCCATATACTAGGACATGGCAACCTAAGGTCTGTGGGCCGGATGCGGCCCAATCGCCTTCTCAAACCGGCCCACAGACAGTCCGGGAATCAGTGTGTTTTTACATGAGTAAAATGTGTCCTTTTATTTAAGATGCATCTCTGGGTTATTTGTGGGGCCTGCCTGGTGTTTTTATATGAGTAGAATGTGTGCTTTTATTTAAAATGCATTTCTGGGTTAGTTGGGGGCATATAAAATGATATTTATATGATAAAGTTGATATTTCCCCCCAAAAAAATATAGTCCGGCCCCCCATAATGTCTGAGGGAGAGTGGACCGGCCCCCTGCTGAAAAAGTTTGCTGACCTCTGTACTAGGGAATATTGGCTGGGAATAGGAGCAAGCGGGTTGGGCAGGGAGGCAACAGGAGTAGCAGGATAGGGGCTGTGGCAAGGACAGGGGATTACCGGTATATTTTGCTTGCATTTTCCTCCATTTTTGTCGGCTGCATATATTATATATGATGTTATCCACCTTTGGGATAAGACAGGCCACAAGCCAGAATGAATAAATGCATTCACATATACATACACTGACCTTCCCTTCTGCACGTATAAAAGGTTGCTTGTGTCTTTTCCACAGGCTGCCTCTCATACTTTCCTTTCTCACTCTGTTCTCCAAGGCATACACAGGTTATCCCTCAGAAATACAAGAACTACCCAAAGTTTAATGTTTCTTTGCATGTTTTCCAAAGGGGCTTGGGTATTTAAAATATTAAGCAGAATGTGAATTTATGAAGGCTCAATTCACTGCAGGCAATTTTGCTGTTGAATTTTCTCTAGATAAATTGCAAGTATCTGTTGGAACCAAACTCACACATTACACAGAAACATGCATGCAAACACGTCACCACAGAGACATGTATTTCTCAAGATTTTGGTTCTAGAGTCATGGTATACCACAGGGATGTTGCCTTCCACTTCAGGTAAAAGTAGGAACATAGAAATATGTTTATCAGCTGTTTTCAGCAAACCAAGACTGTTCCTGAAACTGTTGAATTTCATGTTGGGAAATACCAGCATCAAAGCCCAGCATCCAGAAATCTTCCATAGTATATCAGTCTTGGTAGTGCACCCTGAATTGTCAATTATACTTAGTGGTTTCACCTTCTGCTATAGCCATATCTCCAAAATAACAGATAAGATTTGGTTCAGGTCTGATAATGAACTCTGAAAAAATCATGGGACATTTGTATCACAATAAATCTCACCAAGAGTATTTGCTATTTATTGTAATAAATTGTCCGTCAAAGTTGTCTAGACAATGCCATTTTCCATGATTAACAGTCAAATTTGATTGCAATATACAGTAACATGTTAATTGCACCATATTTTGCTTTCTCCATATCAATCTCCAGCATGTTTTGGTTGCAGCCTTTCTATGATTTTCCACACTCTGACAGCAAGAGACTGATTGCTGCAGATAAAACTGGAGTCTGTTAATGTGCTTATGCTTTGATCTTCAAAATACTCATGAAGCATCTAAGAACTCCAGTTCTCCAGAGGATAAGATGCCAGTCATACCATTTTTCTAGCCTGGCTGGTGGTCTTGTAATGTGGGCATATACACATCAGGCCTTTTTAAAACATTTTTTATAAAAAAAATTATTGTGTTTCACAAAGAATAACCCCTGCTGCTTTTCAAATAACACTTTTCAGAGCAATTTAAATGCATTAAACTGGTTCCTTTTCTGTCCTGCACTCACATACCTGTTACACTTCCTTAGATAAAAGGTTGCATTTAACAACCAATTAACTACTCTCCTTGTGTAAGGTCATCCTTAAAAAGATGAAATCTTCAACCTGTTATTTCTTTTTAGAGAAAAGATGCATTTGGCTTCTGAATGACAAATATAGATATAGTACAACTCCAAGACTTCACATCTCTGCTTACCCTTATAGCTGGGACCAGTCCTACCATTAGATATAGTGAGGCAGCCACCCCTAAGGCATCTGATTTCAGATGTCATGCAATAGTAAATTAAATAACCAGCAATTTGCTGCTAAGTGGAATGATCTGTCTCAGGAGCCAAAATGACTTGGCTGGCCTTGGGCATTATGCACCATGACTTGGAGATGGGGAGACTATTGCTGCTCTGCTTCAAGGAGCTAGTAACTTGAGCTGCGCACCTTCCAGCCTACTTTCCTTGACAGTCTCTGTTCTCCATTAGACAGCGAGCTCTGGCACTAAACATAGATACTGAGCCTTTACTTAATAACACAAGAAGGATCCTTCGAAGTCCTGCATTCTAGTCTCGCAGTAAGCAAGCAGGACACAACCACAATAACCCTTTCCTACTCATGATCCCCAGCAACTGATGTTTCGAAGCATTCTGCCTCTGATACTGGAGGTAGCACAAAGTCATCATGGCTAGTAGCCACTGACAGTCATCCTCCATGAATTTACAGTGGTGCCTCGCAAGACGAAATTAATCCGTTCCGCAAGTCTCTTCGTCTTGCGGTTTTTTCGTCTTGCGAAGCACGGCTATTAGCGGCTTAGCGGCTATTAATGGCTTAGCGGCTTAGCGGCTATTAACGGCTTAGCGGCTTTAAGAAAAAGGAAACAAACTCACAAGAACTCGCAAGACTTTTCGTCTTGCGAAGCAAGCCCATAGGGAAATTCGTCTTGCGGAACGACTCAAAAAACGGAAAACCCTTTCGTCTAGCGAGTTTTTCGTCTTGCGAGGCATTCGTCTTGCGGGGCACCACTGTATCTAATCTCCTTTTAAAGTGATCCAAGTTGGTGGCCATCTTGCGGAACCCAATGCATAGTTAAATTCCACAGTTTAACTGCATTGGATGAGTTAGCATAACAGCTGAATGGGTTAAATTATTTCTTGGAAATTAAGATGTGGCATAAATGCATCTGGCTTTTCCACTCACACCAGCAGCTTGTTTAGTTTACTATGAAACTCAATTGACAAAACAAACTTTCCTAATAATAATATATAAATACCAATTAATGTCATTTAGCTGGAGGCAAAAAATTATTGTTTTAATGCAGGACAAGCTGAAGCACGTCTTTGAAATACTCAGACTGAAATGTTAATCACTACCACAGATTTCAAACAAATTGAATTCAGACAAATGTTTCAGGAAGAGGGGAGTTTTTAATGACACAAAACCCAAACATGCTGAGAAACAGTACTTTCTAGTTTTTCTCCAGGAATGGAAGCAAAATCTTTGAAACTGAAGCTTAAATCTGTCATGCTGTTAATGAGTCTGCAACCATTAACCATCAGTCAAAAGCTTGTACAAAATCTCTCCATAAAAGATAATGAAATTAATTTGATTCACTAAGATACATAGATGCATGCCTTTCTCTTTGATGTAAAATGCTGCCATTCAGAAATAACAATATCACCAGCTGTAGAGGTTTCTCCAGCAGATTCTCCCATGTAACTCATGTTTGCTTTTCAGTGTGCTGTACTTTGAATAAAGAACTGTGTGAAGCTGTCATGAGGGATTAAAACTACAGTGTCAACAATATGCAAACATCTCCCTGTTCTCTCTCTCTTTTCCATCAGATGCCAAGGATACAGTGTGAAACCTTAAGAAGGGTTTAGAAGCTGGGGGGGGGGAAGGCTGAATGTGGGATAGCAAATAAAGGTTGAAGTCCTGCTCAGAGTAGACCTACCAAAATTAATAGACCCAAAATTAATGGCATACCTTCCAACACTGGAGTGAGGAAAATTGGGACACAACCTTGATGGAGGATATCCCTCCTCTCACTCTAGCTCCCTCCCTTGATATTTGTGCACTGCCTTCAGCCACCACTGCCATGGTCACTGCCACCAGTGTGGCCAGTGTGGTGCTGGCTTCTGGCTGGAAAGGCACGGTGGAAGGAGGAAGAACACTGGTGACGGGGGGGGGGGCAAGGTAAGTTTTGCTTCTGTCTTTTGGTCTTTTGGTCCTACACTCTGGTGTGAGCCAGTTTACTTGTGCCACAGCACAGGACACCTGGAATTGGGGTTAGAAGCCAGGGTGGCTTCTGTAAATCTGGAATGTCCCACTTTAAATGGGACAGTTGCGCAGTATGTAATGGGCCCAAGAAGGATTCTTTGCTACACTATCCATTAGCTACAGTAGAATCCTACACTACAATCCAGAAATTTCCCATTATGAGAACTGATCTGAATTCTAAACACTCTGGACTCCACCCCTTTCATATATTCTCCTCCGTGTCTCTAATGTACATGGAGAACA